TGTTAAAAAATTTTCACCCTCTCTGAACCGTGAAGGAGGTATCAGATTTAACGGAGACTTCAGGGTTGTCTACCGCTGACGAAGCTTCTGTGAGAGAAGCGAAACGTCCTTTTTTGTTTTTTGTTTTTTACCCACAGGTACAGATGACGACTGACAGAACCCTTTCTATGATGGAACTTTCCTGTACGACTGAGAGCCTCCACAAGCATAGTCTCATTTAACAAATGCAAAAAAAAAAGATGCCGCAATCATCTAATCGAATGAAAGACCTCTGAGTCATAATCCAATTGAATCTTGAGGTTGTGAATTTTCCCACTACTAGTACCTAGTAGACAACATTCAAAACTGTATTTATTAACATAATGAACTTGTTAATTGCCAATTCTTCTCCTGCACTAAGACCGAAGAGATGACACAAGTGCCGCCCAGTTGGGTTTATAAAAGGAAATACAATACAGTAAAACTTGTTCAATGGGTTCATGATCTCCGAGTTGCACACACGTGGACACATGCGCAGGCAAAGAGGAACGTCACACTTTTATAACAGTGTTTACACGTCTGGGGCCAGGACTGGCGTAGGAGCCAGACGAATGTGGTTTATTCAGGGCCTCTTTCATTCTAATCCACCTTTTCTCCCTTTCAGCGGTGACCTTGGTGCTTATGAGGAGGCGGGGCTTGACCTACATCTACCCCTTTAACTGGAACTAGAAACCCCAACCAGCCTCGGGTGAATAAATAGACCAGATACCTTTAATAATTTTTTAGTAATACGCTCATTTTGTATGTGGGTTTTTTTTCCACAAAGTATAACACGGAAAAGCTTTTCAGCATCTCTGGCACAAGTGAAAAGCGGAACACCAGGCTCCATCACTCGTCTCAGAGGCAACAAACACGTCTGTGTGCACCAGGTCACCATTAGCACGCATGGGCTTAACGCTGCGCTGGTGAGGGTTTTAGTGGCAGGTCGACCTTCCTCTGGGTTGTAAAGCAGCATGTCGAACTGTTGCTAATGCATTGTACATACGGAAATGTGTGTCCTCACTAGCTTCTGGTGCAATGAAAGTGCTCACACAGGCAACCTATGAGGTATTACAATGCTCATATAATGCAGAATAATATTCAAAATACTGTTCCGCAGTAATTGGGTGCGGATGTAAACAGTCATAAGTCACATAAAATTTTAAGGTGAAGTCAAGGCACAAATATTCTTTACAATAATAAACTCTATGCACCCTTAGTGGTGTAAACATGGCATTCAGATTGATATTCTGTTTGTGGAATATTAAATAAGCAGGAAAATACGGGAGGAGATTTGTCAGAAAAAATATATCCGTGATTTTCACGTGTTTTTCAGATCCACAGATATGTGCACAATTTTCACCGACTATTTAATGTTGTGTGTGTCTTTGTAATGACTTAACATTTGTGAATATTCAATGCTACTTGTGAAGTGTTGAATGTACATTAGTGGATCAGCAGGCACACACCTTTATTTATTTTTAAGATACTCACACACACGGCAGTTCGAAAACATTCATTTGCGTACAGGCCATCCCTCCTCTTTCTGGTCTCTCCACGGATCGGTAACGAACGATGTCCTGGAAAATAAAGGAAAACGAGTCTTGATCTTATCTTCTATTATATGTTTATTTCACACAAGTCGGGACACAAAATACGACCGTAATTTGTTTCCCTTGTGTTTTTTTTCCCCTTCACACGGAAGACGTTATTCTTCTCTTTGTCCGCTGCTGCGGTGACACAGAAGAGATAGCAGCAGAAGAAGGTCTTCCATGCGAAGGTAAAACAAGCCTGAGAGAAAAAAAATTACAGTTGTATTTTCTTTCCCGAATCGTAGTCACTAAACATGTAATAAAAGATCAGATAAGGGCCGGTTGCCGATTTTTCAATTTCCAATTTTCGAAAGAAAACAAGACAATGCTCACTGGAGACCGCAACACTGCCGCCTAGTGGATGAAGGGAGGATGGCTTTTACACACGTGATTATCTAAGACCTGTGCGAGTCTGGAAATGGCATGTGATGTTTGACAACATTTAGAATTGAACATGTTCAAGTGATAAATAATGATAAATGCACCGAAAAAACATTGAAAGAACAACTGAAAAATATGTTCAATTTTGTGGATCTGGAAAAACGTGAACATTTCAGGGCACTGCCATTTTGCCACTTGCTGTCAACTGAAAATCACAGTGTCTGTATCGCCTTCAATCTGACATCATTTGACATTTGCAGTTTGTCTCTCCATTGAGCTCACACTATTTTGTTTTAAGCTAAATCAGCCATCTTTGGTGTTTACATTTGCATGGAATTCACAACTGGTACAATATGAATGGGATTAATCCAATTTCGCACCAATCTGGAATACAGAACAAGGGCTCAGGCAATTTGCAAACATCACATGACCAAACCCAGAAAACAGGTGAGCCATGACGGTCCTTACCTGAGTCCTGTCATGTCATTTTCAATCGAGAGCAAGTGGCAAAATAGCACCCCCAGAGGTGGATGCAATCGGGTGTCTTTCTGCTTAAATCATATTCTCCAAACACAATAAAATTAGAATGCTGTTTCACTAATGGGGGCGCATAGAACATATTGGTGTCAAGAAAATATTTGACTTGACTTCACAAACGCGGTTGCATACTTTACACAGCCGACCTTCAATACAATGATCACTGCATCTTTTTAAAAGGCAGAGGCTATTTAATAAGGGATAATTAAATGTCACTCTTGTACAAATATAGCCCCCTAACAAAAACTAAACAGGGGTTTCTAGGCAACACTAAGGCCCCCACTGAGTGATGATTTTTGTCTGGGACATTAATACTTTCAATAAGCAGTCGAAGGTTTGAGCTGATTAGTAATTACACCGTACTGAAGTGAGAAAGCGCACAGTTAAAGATACATTTTGCAGATTATAGTATTGCAATATTCCCATTTTATGTTTGAAAGCAGTTGCCATTGGAAGAGATCCGTGTTAATGTATGGAGGGATTATAAAAGCAATGCATGAGCAAGTGCACATTTAATGAGTGGGGTTTGCATGAGAGAGCTGTGCGTGATCAGAGATATACCATGAGCTGACAAAGCCTCACACAGAGGCATTCAAAGGGGGCCAGTGTCATGCTACCAGGCATCAGGACAGGCCCGGGCGTAACTTGTCCCATAATAATCCCTTCTAGACAAGACGCTCATAATTTGTGCCTCTGGGATGATATGTCGTACTTGGAAAACATAGATGTCTGCAAAAAATTGAGTACATAGAGTATGTGTTTAACCCTTTAAGGACAGTGGTTACTACAGTGGACAGTTTATCATGTTATCAGGTTACAGGGTGCATGAAAGTGTTAAATAAGGCAGAGGATCCCTTTCACCACTCTGAGCAGCCAAGGCGAGCTAGATGTAGAAAGAAATTAGGAGTCGGTTCGATGGGTGTTTAACCTCAGCAGCAGTTGTATTAAGGCGTAGGAGGGATTTCTCCAAACATGCAGCAGGCCAGCTGATAAGGGTCAGTGCTATTCCAAAAGGCCACAAAGACACATCACCAAAATCTTGGAGCCTGCCTTTTAAACTCCTGTTCTTTCTTTGTCTTCCTTTCTCTTTCTCTCGCCTGTACTATCCCCCTCCATCATGCTCAGTAGAACTCCTAGCATGATGTTCGGGAGGGGAGGGGAAAAAAAAAAAGTGGGTCAGGGTGACCTATTTTTTTTTCTCTCACAGTTCACGGAGGCAGAGGGTGGTGGTGTTATCGTCAGTTAGACGAGGAGCAGGGCCTGATGGGGAGGCAGGGCCTCGTCGCTAGACACAGCCACTCAGAACTGGGTCAGTGGCAGAGGCTACGTCTTGTAAATGGCTTGTCATAGTGGGGAGAAAAGCTGCAAATGAACCATAGATTATCTGCCCCAAGCTGAGCACTGAGGTCTCATTGCACTCCCAGCCTCACACTTGAAAAACACACGCACATATAAAGCTTCTGTACAGTACCGCGCAGGAGCCTCTGAAGTACTTGCTCTGCCTTTGAGTTCCTCTCTGGCTCCCTCAGTCTCCAGTAATAGCGTTTGATTACTGCAGTCAGACCTGACAAGCTCAAAGCCCCCAGCTGCAAACGCTTTTAAGTAAAGGATCTTTTCACATTTCAATTTTTCTGACACACGGTTCGCTGTTTGCTAAATTTAGCCTACTTCATCCCAGATTTGCCCGACTTTATTCAGGTCAGGTTATTTACTGTACCAAGTTCAACTGTGGTTTAGAAGAATGTTACAGATTCGTATTCGTCTGCAATGACCTCTTTGCCTATCAGCTGCGCCAAAGCCAAATATGCGAATAGATAATTTGCTTACGGTGGATCGTCTGAGTTTTTTTTCTTTTTCTTTTTTATCTTTGATTCTTCTCCATCCAAATGAGACCCACCTTGAAAAAGTGTTCTTTCCAAAAACAAACGTTATTATTGATAAAGCTGACTACATGCAGCGTGTCATGTTCGAACAAGATTTTGACATTTTAAGGTTGGAGTGATTAAAGGAGCGAATTATATCATTTAATAATGATTTTATCATGTTTGAGGTTTACTGATAAATGTGCTGAAGTGTTGAGCAGAAGTTGGTCAGCAATGACACCCCCCCCCCAAAAAAAAACAAGTGAAATATCAATAATAGCAATTTTTCTAATCAGCAAATGTACTGGATGCACGGTTGTGGGAAGATAAAAACAATTTGGGCTTTAGGGGCAAAATGGACCATTTTGGGGGCTGTCTGGAGGCCCTGGCCGATTCCTACTTACATGATGTGTCTTTTTGGTTCCTTCAAATGCCTCACTCGCACGCATCAGATAAACACTGGGTTAGATCTCCTCCCTAGCAATAGTTGGTGCCGTCGTCGTGCTGTACCGAGATCCCCGAGCTGAGTCTTGTTCTTTGGAGCAATGCAATTTTCTGGCAGTAGCGCTTACTCGTGTTTCACTATGTGGAACAAATCTGCCTGTAATGAATCTCCCAGGACACTAGTGCCTCCACAAACAAGTCTGCTTTTTTTGGTCTCTTCAACAATGAAGGATCTATTGTAGGCCACTTCTACCTTTTCAGCCTATCCATTCACACGACATTAAACCACAGTTACAGTTTGTGTTCGCTATACATCGTAGCATTTCTTTCATGCGTGAGTTCTGTTTTTCCTCTCTATAATCGCCGACCCATTAGCAAAGGTGTTATACTCACAAACAACCTAATATCCCGGGGAAGGGCTAAACATGTTTGGAGGATCGGATTAGCAGCAAGACTCCGGCTAGCGCGCATGGTAAAGTCACAGTGCCACTGCTGTAAGCACAAACACTCAGTGTTATTCTTAGCCCCAGAACTTCATGTCTCTGTGTGAAAGCCCCTTAACGCAGCTAATTGAGGAGACTGCTCATGGCTCATGTCACTCATCAACAGCTTCTCAGCAGCATATGTGTGGTCTTTCTCTGCACTTGTGCGGTGTCAAGCCAATATTCAAGAAACTGGCTGGGACCACCGCTATGAAAATGTTCACAAAAGTGGAGTGGTTTCTTTTTTATCGCGACACAGCGCCACTTTTACCAGAGGCTTTCCAGGATGTCTGAGTTTGACATTACTGTTTGGAAAGGTCAGGCATGGAGAGAGACAGTAGCTAGTCTCTTCGAGTTTCCAACCCTCCAATATACATGATTGTATTGATTTTAGAACATATTAAGGAATGC